AAGGAAAATTGCATGGACCGTAATAAATAAAAATCTGAAGGAGCAATGTCCGGTAAATACGGCGGATGGGGCAGAATTTTCCACTTCATTCCTTCCAGGTTTCTTGACCGGTTTTGCAACGTGTGGCCTAGCGTTGTCATGTAGCAAAATCAGCTTGTCGTACCTATTGTCCCATTCCGGTCGTTTTTCTTTCAAAGCTTGGTTCAAATGTTTCAGTTTTAGTCGATAACGATCGTCAGTGATGGTTTCGGACGGTTTCAGCAGCTCATAATATACAGCATCCCTTTGATCCTACCAGATGCATTATATAACTTTTGAAACATGGATATTCCGTTCTGGCGTTGATGGACCTGGTTCATCAGGCGTCACCCATGCTTTCGGACATTTAGGGTTATCGTAGTATATCCATTTTTCATCGCCAGTCACGATACGCTGCAGAAAACCCTTCCTTTGTTGTCGTTGAAGCAGCATCTCGCACGTGATCAAACGTCTTTTCATATCTTTCTTTTTCAATTTGTATGACACTCAATTTTTTTTCTTTTTGCACCATTCCCATTGCGTGTAGACGTTTTCCAACAGTGTATCTATTGGGAGAGTGCAAAAGTTCGTGCGGAGGTGCAATAGATGGCGTTAGAAGCGGCGTAAAGTTTTGTCATTAATACCGCCATCTCCGTAAGACATATCGTTGGAAAGGTGACGTGTGCAGCGTTCATTTCAAACAAAAGAATTTGTGTAGATACGAACTGCTTCGAGAAAAATTACTTTCAAAATGAGTGTCGAAAAGGTTCATTTACGGCATGTTATGCTTTACGAGTTTCGGAAAGGAATAAACGTTGCAGCAGCCGTAAAAAACATTCAAGAGGTTTATCAAGATCAAGCACCAGCTAAACGAACTGTGGAAAAATGGTTTGCGAAATTTCGCCGCGGACAGTTTAACCTTGAAGACGAGCCACGCTCAGGTCGACCTTCAGACATTGATGACGATGTTGTGCGAACTTTAGTTCAGAATACTCCGCGAATTTCAACAGAGGAAGTTGCTACAGCACTTAACGTTGACCGATCAACCGCTTTTCGGCGTTTAAAAAAAATCGGTTTCGATTTGAAGCTCGATGTATGGGTGCCCCATTTGATGACGGAGAGGAACAAAATCCAGCGAGTTTCTGCTGCCGTTTTTTTACTCGGGCGGCTCAAAAACGAGCCGTTTTTGGATCGATTAGTGACGGGCGATGAGAAATGGGTCCTGTACAACAATGTTCAGCGCAAACGCACATGGAAACAGGCAGGTGAGCATGGTGAAGCAATGGCAAAGGCCGGTTTACACCCGATGAAGGTGATGCTCTGTGTTTGGTGGGATTGCAAGGGCATAATTTATTTTGAGTTTCTCCCCGCTGGTCAAACGATTGATTCGGACAAGTACTGTCGCCAATTAACCAATCTGAATCGAGAAATCAAACAGAAACGTCCGAGTTTGTCAAATCGCAAGGGCGTAGTCTTTCACCACGACAATGCAAGACCACACGTTTCGAGACAGACGCTGCGCAAACTGAACAGCCTGCAATGGGATGTCCTAACTCATCCACTGTATTCTCCTGATATCGCACCTTCTGATTATCACTTGTTCCGGTCATTGTAAAATCATTTAAATGGAAAAAAATTGACTCTTTGGATGCCTTAAAAAACGTCGTGTCTTCGTTCTTCGAATCTAAACCGCGCAGTTTTTATGATCGGGGCATCTGTATGCTGCCAGAACGTTGGAAAAAGATTATAGACAGCGATGGAGAATATGTCATTGATTGAATAAAGAACTTTGTTTGCCTAATCACTGTCTGACTTTTACTCACAAACTCCGCATGCACTTTTGCATTCACCCAGTATCAACATTTATTTCGTTTGACAACTCATCAAGCGATCGACAGAGATCTTCTTTGAGTAATGTTTACAATTGTGCATCTTTAAATTTTTTTGGTTTTTTCACGTTCTTTGTCACGCACGTCGAAATCACTATTATTGAATCGCCGAAACCATTCTTTATAAATAGTATTCGATGGAGCACGTTCACCGTAAATATCTACGAACAAACGATGCGTTTCCGCAGTATTTCTCTTTAAAATAAAATAATGAAGTAAAACTTCCCGCAAGTGTTTCTTCTTTTGAATAATTCCGACAATTTTAACGCAGGAAAATTACTCTTGTTTACGCTTCGAACGAATGCCAACTACTGGGCTCAAAAGCTTGAACACACACCTTTCAAATACATATATTGCCGTTTCATCAAACACATAAGCAGTGCTACTGATGACATCTCTCTACAATAGACGGAAACTTATTTCTATACCCAATAAAATTCCTTGTAAAGAATTTTAAAAAAGTCGTTGTCTAAAATAATTAACATGTTTGCCCAATTCTATCATTCCAAAGTGCACTTTCATAAGAGCTTTCACAATATTCGCACGGCATGTCAATATGTTGCGCTGTCACTGTACTTGTCATAAGCTGCTGCATTTGGATAGCATAACGACAGCATGCATAACCGCACTGTGCGATCATGCAAACATTTGGTTATTGCAGTGAACAGTCATTGTCGAGTTAGGTCACAGTTAGGTTGGCATTCACAGTCGATAATTTGATACGGGACTAAGATGGACGACTATGTGAAATGTATGCGCACTCTGCTAATCGAGAACCGCTGGCCAAGCATTGACATATTGAAGGAATTGCACATTAGTGTAGGGTGTGTACAAACTACCGTGCATAGCGTGCTCATGAAAAGAAATGTTTGTACCAAGTGTGCCACACTCGTTAACGACAGAGCAAATAGAACAGTGTGGCGGCACAAAAATTGGCCACAGTCATTAACATAAGTCACTCAAATAGCCAAACCTGTGCAAACAGATTTCGAGCAAAGACTGCTACAAATTTTTGATAGCAAAAAACAATAATTTTAACATAGGTTCTGTTCTATCAAATTATGTTGTCAGATTGCTGCCAAAAATGCGACAGTACCTATTAACAAACAATGCCAGCAGATTTGTAATAAAAATCGAGCAGAACCTATAGCGATCTGACGAGAGATCGTCAGATCGGTGACAAAAACCGAGCATATCTTGCTGCGAACAGTTTGGCAGCATGCTCTGCGTGGTTCTTACCGCCAATCTGCTCGCATTGTATGTTAGCCGGCTCTGTTGCCGAAACACTAGCTGAATGCGAACAAAAATAGTTATAGTTTTGGTGTGGGATTCTGATCAAATTTGCTGCCAATCTACACAGTGTGCAATCAATTTACTTACTGGGCACCCTCCAAATTTGACCCCAATAGATTTTATCCTTTCCGGAAAATTAAAAGTAGCCCTTAAAGTGATCCTTATCAAGAATGTCCATTAACCCTTCTATAGTCTTCAGATCTATTTGACTCAAAGATTATAGGACTGTTAAGAATAATGTAATAGCAATTCTGATCGAGAAATATTCCAAGGTTGTTCCAAGGTTTTTCCAGAGATTGTACAAGCTCTACCATACGTACCAGGTGTAGAAGTTTGAAACCGGAATTTTTTTGTAAAAATTACACGTCTGTTGTTTGAAAATGATAAAAAATATTTTATTCAAAATAATGTCCATTGCTATTTATACATTTTTCCCACCTCTCCGGCAGTTTATGAATGCCACGCCAAAAAAACATTTCTTCTATCGAAGCGAACCAGCTATCGAGCTATTTTCGTACATTTTCATACGAATTGAAGCGTTGTTCAGCGAGAGCGTGTCTCATTGATGCGAATAGATGATAATCGGACAGAACCAAGTCTGGAGAATAAGCCGCATGCATTAGTATTTCCCAACTGAATTCCCTAACCCATTTTGCTGTGTGTGATGGGGCATTATCATGGAGCAAAATGACTTTGTGTTGCCTTTTTCTATATTCCGGTCGTTTTTCACGCTCGATTTAAATCGATCATTTGCTGTTGGTAGCGATCAGTGTTAACGGTTTCACCAGGTTTTAGCAGCTCATAATAGATTACACCCTTCTGATCCCACCAAACACAGAGCATTGTCTTCTTTCCAAAGCGATTGCAGTGGATGTCGATGGTTCGCCTGGATTCACCCATGATTTCTGACGCTTAGGATTCTCAAAATATATCCATTTTTCATCACCTGTCATGATACGATGGACTTTCTTTTGTATCTGTCGAGCAGCATTTCACAAGTGGTTTTTCGATTTTCTTGCTGTCTTTCATTCAGTTCATGCGGAACCCATTTTCCTACTTTCTGAATCATGGCTTTCAAACGAATTGAAACAGCTTTCTGCCTCACATTCAATTCATCCGCGAGTTCTTATTAAGTTTGAGTATCATCTTCATCCAATAAGGCTTGCAATTCGTTGTCTGCGAACTTTTTCGGTAGTTTCCTACGCTCTTCGTTTCTCACGTCAAAATCACCACTTTTGAATTTTTTCAACCACTCGAAACACTGTGTTTTACCAAGAGCATGTTTACCGTAAGCTTCGACGAGCATTCGATGCGATTCTGCAGCAGTTTTCTTCAAATAATAACAAAAAACCAATGCTGTCCGCAAATCGTAGTTCGTAGGCACACATCTCGATATGTTTAAGGTTATAGAAAAATATACCGGTGTATAGAACTTGGGTTGTTGTGCGTTGAAAATTTTCGTCAGCTATTAGAGGGAGATGATGGCGCTGCAGAAGCGGTCTTACGGTCCCTAAACTGATGGCTAGCACCATCTATAGGGAAATTCCGGTTTCATACTTCTACACCTGGTATATAGAGAGAGATTAGTATATGTTGAAAAATATAAAAATTAAATTTTGTTTATCTACAAAATTCAATTTTTCATAACGTTAGTCCCAGAACTTTTTGAATGCACTGTGCATATGATGGATGAGACACTTAGCGACTTTCTCCTACTTACTCCCCTACTTAGCGACTATATCTCGTGTACATAAAATAAAATTAAACAATAAATATTTTGTTTTTTACAAAGGTCCTGAAAACATCAATGTCCTATTTCACGATGCTGCGTTCTCTTCACTGACGGTTTCAACATAGTATCGTAGTACACACGTGTCTGAACTGCTTGCAAAACTCGGGCATATTTTATAAAATATGGCCTGTCATGGTGACATTAGCGGCTAGTCTATTCGAGGTATATTTATTAATAGGATTATAAAAAATATATAAAAGACGACGACGAATTGTACTTTTTTTTAAAATGTGTAAAAATTATAATGGCTATACTGAAAAAGAAACTCCTCGTTGATCAATTAATTATCCAGGACAAATTTCATTGCATGCCGGCGAAATTAAATCTATGCTTTTATTGCAAAATATTACTTATTTCGTTAGTATCACAATTTATTATTATTTTTGAAACTCGTAGAGTTTCATTGTTTACACTGACGAGAATAAAAAAGAATATTTTCAAATAACATACTACGAGGACAAATCAAAATGTATTTATGTTAGTAATGAAGACGCAAGTCTTTTCCACAAATTTTTTTTAATTTTTCAACGTACATCTCTTTTAGGAAGATATACTTTTCCCAACGCCCCTGCCACTTTTTTAACTACACTGAAAAATATGATTTATCGAATTTTGCCAAATAGGTCTCTGTTTTGACTTCCTCATTTGACTTGAATCACTTTTCACCGAGACATTTTTTTAAATTTGAAAACAGAAAGAAGTCGCAGAGGACCAAATCCGATAAGTACGGTAGATGCGGCAATAATTTGTAGCGCAATCGACTAATTTGTCTGTAGCGACTGCGGAGAAGTAAGCCGATGAATTGCCAAGGTGGAATAACACATATTTTCGCCAAATGGGGATGTTTTCCTTCAATTCAACATTGGAAAGACCCAATAAATCAGCATAGTACTACCCCGTGATAATTTTTCCCTTTTTCAAATAGTCGATGAAGATCACACACCCCAAGACCGTGGCAATTACCTTTCCGGCCAATGGGACCGTCTACCTACTTCGGAGAACGTTTGCTCAGTGAAGTCCACTATTTTGACTGTTCCTTGATCTCCGGTATGTAGTGATGGAACTATGTTTCATCAACAGTTACGACTCCATGCAAAAGCTCCTCCGGATTGCGCTTAAACAGCTACACACACTGCTTCGAAATTGATAGCCCCAACCTGCTTGTTGTCTACCGTGAGTAATAGCAGCACCCATCACGCTTACAGCTTTTCATTCCAAAATTTTCATGCAAAATATTGAATGCCTTTCGGTACGTCACGCCTACGGCCTCTGCTATTTCGCGCACTTTCATTAGGCGATTAGCGAGAATCATATCGTGGGCTTTTTCAATGTTTTTCTCAGTAACCACGCCTGCCAAGCAGCCTGGGTGCGCCTCATTAAAAACAGATGAACAACCACGTTCGAATTCGTTGAACTAATATCTAACGGTTGTCATAGATGGTGAAGGCTTCCCATAGATGGTATCCAACATCGTTTTTATTTCTTCAAATTGCTTCGTTTTTCTATCCAAAAATAAAAAGCATATCACGGAAAATTATTGCTTTTTTTCCATTTATCGAGTAAATATGCTAGGCGGGTTCTAACTCTGGAGCTCCAAGGGGAGTGCGATAAAGAGGGGGTACTGCAGCGCACGGGGATTGACATCAGGAAGGGGGACGGGGAATTTACCGGCGCGGGGGCTGACGTCACGCGCGAAAGGACTAATATTATGTACTGTATTACCGACAATATGTCTGAATTATTGTATTACCATCGTATTACCGTATGTATTATCGTCGTACCCCCTCCATTAGTATTAGTCCTGACACGCGTAACGTGCCACGACATGCGACCTCAGCCCTTAGGCTATATGCTACAAAACATCTATTCTATCTTTCCAGCTTTGGCAACGACTAATAAGAAAGCGGGCGAGAGAAAAATCCAGCAGCGCATGCAGGCGTACTTCGCAGGATGGGCAGTTCGGCCGTCACCTGTACGCGCCTCCTAACCCTCCAACCGCGCGTGGGGTGTGCGGTAAACCGCTAGCCCTCACGCGGCCTGCGCACGTGCCACGCCCACGGGGACCACGGGGAGGCCTGCCCATTTGTGTCCCGATCCTGGGACACACGTTCTGATCCTATTGACTCTATTCATGTTTTGGACAGGTAATAGGATGAGATGTTCTAAATGAAATGAGATATGACTGGATGCAAGGATATAAGATCTTGCTCGTCAGCCATTGGATAACGGGTGGGACCCTGCCTAGTATGAAAGCTAAATCCTACCTAGGAACCCAGCTAAGAACGCCTAAACAACCGGGGCGTTTGGTGATCTCGCGAAGCTTACGAGGCCACACCCCAATAACCGAGATCTCCGACATCCTTCGGCCTAGTTGTTCCAGAAATCTAAGAGCCTCCTTTTAACCAAAGGGTCTCTTTGCAGAAGTCGGCAAAGACCGAGAAAGCCTCTGGAGACGACACCAAGAAGGATGCTGTCGCCGACCATTCCCAGACCCCGATTGAAACGAATTCCAGCAGAGCCTCTCTCTGCGGTTCGAAGAGCTGGCAATGAAGGAGGTGATACGCGGCAGTGTCCTCGCCGTCCCCGCAAGCACTCATCCCACCGTCTGCGAGTCGCAGATCCGCGAGGCGCTTCTGGAAATCGTCATGTCCGGTGATTATTTGCGTGACATAGTGGTCGAGTTTGAACCAGGATGCACCAATCCTAGCCCCGACATCGCCGAAGAAAACACGTGTGATGTGACCCTTGACAGAAGAAGACCATCTGTTCTGCCACATCTCCGTTGCCGCGACCCTCACGAGGCCTAACGCCTTCTTTTTGTTCCCTGTGTAGGGAACAATCCTACCTCCTAGCTTGGCATCCCTCTCTTTTCTAACGTCGAATCGCGCCCGGTATTCAGCGAAAAGGATGTCGACAGGAACCGCACCCACAGCCACACAGAGCGACTCAGTCGATGTCATGCGATACGCGGCGGTCATCGAAATGAGCACTCGGCGCTGCAGGTACCTGAGGACTCTCAAGTCCTCCCTGGCACATAGGTCGGTCCATTCGGCGGCAGCGTATGACACCGTCGGTGCGAACACGCCCCAATATATGGCCAAGAGCGCCCCGAAACGCAGGCCCCACTGACATTCCGCCTGCTTGCCTAGTTTGCTAAAAAGGGACCTGATCTTGTCGCTGAGATATTTGCAATGGGTGGATACACCCATTCCTCTATCTATGTGGATGCCAAAGTACCTGACTGATTTCTTAAATTGATTCTTATTATTGCCTAATCGGATGTTCGGTGGCCTACCCGCGAGGTCAGCCTTTTTGGCCCTAACCGCTTTTCACTTCTTATCGGGACGCGCTCCTTCCCGTCTGCCTATTGGGACCCTTTTGACATAGGTCGCTCTTGAGGACAATTGCTTCAATCTTGCGTGACAAAAGCTCTAGTTTAGCAAAGCTACACCATTTCCCTATTTCGTCGACTACTTTCTGTGGTCTTACTTCTATTTCTTTGCGAGAATCACCGCTGACTAATACGAGAGGATCATCTGCGTGCGCTAAAAATTTATCTCCTACTCTAGCTTCCAACACCCTAAGAAGTCCGTCAAATATGACATTCCAACAAGTTGGACCTAACGCCGAACCCTGCGGGCGCCGAAACCTCCGGTGACATTCTTCGAGACTGTTATATCTCCAAAGGAGAGAGAGAAAATGTTAAGAGGGCAGTTCCTATCCTTAAATCCTGACAATACGAGGGGCCACCAAACGTTGTCAAACGCGCCCGAGATATCAAAGAGCAGCGCAATAATGTACTTCTGCTCAGAAGCAGAGACCATCCGTCGCAGCACCACGACAGCGTCCTCCGCCGACCTTCCGGATATGAAATTGAACTGCCGATCGGAGATCTTCCCCGGCGAGAGTGACGTCTGGTTGAGTCGCTTCAGAAGAAACTTCTCGAAGAGTTTCCATATTACGGAGAGGAGATAAATCTGCCTATAGGGTTTGGGGTCCTCCACGTCCTTGACCTCGCCCTTCAGGAAGACTCTGAGCGAGCTGTCTTTTCAGATCGAGGGAAAGACGCTCCACTGAAGGCACCCACTGAAAAGCCTAATGAACTGACTAGGAATTGCCCTGTAGGCGGCCTTCAGTATCGAAACCTCGATAAAATCCAGCACTGGCGCCTTGTTTCTCAGAGATCTGACAACTGTTGTGATTATTGCATCCGTGAAGAGAAGGTCATCGCCAGTGTCAGGCACATGGTGTGCGCTGTCTCTGACTTCGCGCTGCTGCAGCGTATCTTCGTTCTCCTAGTCATCCGGCACGTGCACGTCGAGCAGAGAAGCAGCGGTCTCCTCTAGGATGACGGTCAAGGAGTTTCCGACACGGAGAGTGCTCAGCACTTTGTCAAACCGGAGCTTATCGGCCTGATGCTTATAAACAAATCCCCAGGGCTCCGAGTTGCCTTGCTCCGTGACAAATCTCCGCCAGCTCTCGAATTTCGTCTTCCTCACCTCCCTGGTGTACTCCCGCAAAGAAGAGCGGTAGACACGCAGTTTGACGGAGCGGGTCGACTCAACACTTTCCTGCTGGTATGCCCATGTGTCCCTATAGACGATTTTCTTTTTGATAGTCAAATTTTTCGTGCACGACGTGTTAGACTTTTTAAATTGCCTTTTTTTCGGCATTGTTTTCTCATAGGAGTCCGTAAGGGAGCCCGCAATAGCATCCGCGAACTTCACCACTTCCTCCACAGACGTCAAACAGAGGACCTCAAGTCTCGATCCGGACAGATCGATGAGGCTCTCAGCGAATTTCTCCCAGTCGGCCCTATTGGTGTCGAACCGAACTTTCGTAGTTCGCTGCTCCCCGCCTCTGACTTTTGGCACCCTCAGCATGATGTCCAGGCAGTTGTGGTCACTGGTTGTTCAGTGGCAACATACCTTCCACTCAGCGACGAACTGGCTCATGGATGGGGACGACAGGGTCACATCAATGTGCGACGATCCCCATGCCGTTCAGTAGGTGGGCGGCTGTCCGAAAACATTAAGGACTTTTTATCCGCGGGCACAAATAAAGTCCTGGAGCATCGCTCCCCTATTGTCCAATTTACGGTCACCCCAGAGAGGGGATCGCGCATTGGCATCCATTCCCACTAACACCCTCTACCCCTTCAGTGAATGAAGCACCATTTCGAGGTGCCTGAGGTGCTCTTCTATTTCGTCGCTGTACTGAAAATAGTACGATGCGACGTAGAAGGAGAAGCCGGGTGCTCGCACTTCCGCACATGCGCAGTGCATAGTGCTGAGCTGCGAGACAAACATTACCTGGAATTCGAGGCTGCAAGCGACTACTGCGGCCCAAGGACGTTGCGCGCACACAGCAGCCACCCTCATTCCAGTCCCTAGTCCGACAAAGGCGTATCCATTGCCCTGTTTCCGGATGTCCAGTCGCTTTTGGACAATGAGTTGACGAACCTCCCCTGTCAACACAGCCGAACACCTCATGTTCAGCTGCAGCATCCTAATTCCCGTGGATCTAAGCGTCGCAGGCAGTGAAGTGTTCCTGGCCGGCACCAGAGACACGGAAGAATCGACTACCTCTACTGGGGTTTGGGACGAAGTCGCGATCGTGTCATCTACGTTTTTCGCGGAGCTATTGCCAGAGCCTATCCTGATTTGTTTCACCCGGTCGAGGATTGTCGGTGTAAGCAGTCTATCTAAGTTAACACTAACAGCACGAAGGCTGAGAAGAATCTGGGACCGTGCACCGAATTGCTCAGAGCTGCGGATGTGCACGGGCACGATTGGTCGAGGGGCCCTCCTGGAAGTTCAACCAAGCACGCGACCGAGCGTGCACGTGACAGAGCATCAGAGGATTCTCCCGCTTTCAAAGTTGCGGGCCTGTCTGGTCGGAAGTGTTCAACTAGACAGACACTCCTCAACACATCACTTAGAATTTTTAATTTATCCATAAAGAAGAATTTGGGGGTCGGAATGGAGGTCGAGCAACGCAAAGCCGCCTTATGTTGCCAAGCCTAGAGAACCAGGGGGGTCAGTAGGTACCCTGGGGTTGTATCGTTAGCGACTGCGCATTTTTTCCGTCCTCACAGCCATTCATACTCTCGGCACGATAATTCCACCTTGGAATTAGAACTGCAAAGGCAGGCCGACCCGAGCTGAAAATAATAGGGAGAACTCCGGTTCCATCGTCGCAGCGGACAAAGTCCCAGAGACGCAGGGCCCGGTAGTTTTAATTTAAGGGCAATTCCCGCACGCCTACCACGCACCGTAGTGTGCAGGAGGAAGGCGGAAGCGAGCTGTCCTGGGGTTTGGATGATTGGAGTTCCGGGGTGAGTGGTGCTTTTACCGCATTTGAACCAATTACGTGTTCGCGGTAGTGCTCGGGTGGGATGTGGGAGTGGTTTGCGAAGAGGAAATGTGGAGAGGAGTGGGGGTGTGCGATGCGGTCGGGTGGCTCCACCTCAGCTCCAGAGAGCTCAGCGACTGTCGCTGCAGGTTTCACACCGCTCGAGCCGCTGACTCTCTTTCGACGCCTCACTGTTTCGTCGTCACCCGTTCCGCTACTGCAACGAATTAGGGAACATGAAAAAGAAGAATATATTAATACCTCCAGTTCCGTCGCTGCTGTGGCAGAGCCACAGAAGCGCAGGGGGTCTATATAACGCGACAGGAAGAGGAGTATTAGGATTTTACCGCATAAGGACAGTTCACCTGTCCGCGGTAGCGCGGTGATTTTCTCGATGGGGAAGAAGAGGCGATCTTTAACGTTGTACCGCGTAAGAACTACTTATGCTTTCGTGGTAATACAGTAGACCTCCCAGGAGGGGTGGGAGAGATAATTTTATGGGTACCGCATGAGAACAGGTTTCCTGTTCGCGGTAATGCTGTGAATGTTATATGAGGGTGGAAAGAAGTGGGAGATTTGGTTTTTAACCGCGTGA